GGACTAAAAGTACTGCACAATGACAACACTGTTCCTGAGTGGGCAGGTTCTGTCCATCAATAGTTGTAGAGGAGAGGGGTTCAATTCATTATGGGGAATTCTAGGGTTCAGCTTTCCCTTCATCCCATTTGAAATCTGCATGAAGCCAGTGGGAAATGGCAAATGCAGTGGAAGTCCGAAAGGATTATATGTGGAGAAATTAACCTGGATTCAACCCAAGCCAAGAGCAAGTGGTTATTAATTCAGCAGCTGGCTGACCATGGTCTTGTATCAATTCTGATTTTCAATAGAACAACGTTCTATGTGGGACTAGGAGCTTCCCTGGACTCACAGCTCTACCAGGGGAAATTGGGTTCAGGAGGGAACATCTGTGGCCACAGAACAAAGCTCTTCAAGATGAATAGTATGTCAAAAAGTGCACTGAATTATTAATAAAATTATTGCACTCACCTAGCTTTTATTTGGCTTTTCTTAGCAGCAGCCTCACTAGCTGTCAAGGGCTCAGGAAGAGTTGAAGGGAGAGGAGAATTCTTGGAAAAATAAGTGAGCGTGTGTTATTAATAGCTTTTCTGGGAAATAAAGATAGCAACAGAAAAGTTCTGTATCATACCAGCTTGAACATAATCATATTGCATACCAACGGTAAACAAAAAAGCCCATATAGGATATAATCTGTTCATATGTATCCTGGAAGAGGATAAAATTGGTGACATTACGAACAAAAATACTCCATTGATTGTAACATTCACATCCATTTATTTTCAGAAATCCTAGGTATCCGAGAGGAATTCTGGGAGTTGAAGTCCACAAGTCATAAAAGGGCCAAGTTGGAAGACCCCTGCTATACAGCATAGTGAAAATCCCCAGCCATCCCCACTGCTCTTTACTCCACAGGTTCTGCTATGCCTAGCTGACCTTCCCCAGCTTCCTTCCATTGCTTTGGGCCATGCCACGCTTTCTTTCCAAAGCTGCTTTCACTGTTCTCCAAATAACACGTGCCATTTGCAATGTTTTGAAAAAACCTTCAGCAAACCTTTTGAGGCTTTCCAAGGGATTGTGAGAAGGCCACGCCCGCTGTTTTCCAAAATTGCACACGCCGTTCTCATGATGCTTTGGAAAGCTTTCACAAACTTTCCGCGGCCTTTCGAAGCATTGTTAAGAACTGGCCTGGGCAATCTGTGGAGAATTGTGGGTGCAGGAGGTTTTAGGAGGTCTCAGGAACCTTCTGAAGTATCACCAAGAACAGTATGCACTATTTGAAGAACAGCACAAGCAGATTTGGGAAGACGTCTTGGTGTGGTTACCAGCTGCCTCGCACAAGGAGAGGCCAGATACACCTCGTTAACGGTGGAAAGGAGATGGTGAAGGTCACCGGAGAGCAATAGGGCTTGCAGAGTGCAGGACAATAGAGGTGGCTTTATGATCCCATTGCTTAGTGACAGAAATTCTAGTCCCAATTTACCGTTGTAATTCAAAGACCACCTGTATTCTGCATTTTTAACTTTGTTTTTGTTGTAAGAAACGAGGCCAGGTGAATAGCTCTTAACTTGGTCAATTATTTAAGGACACTAGCATATCTTGGAAATGAGGCCAGGAAGTAATATGTCAAGGGCATTAAAAATGCATATCATATCTGCTATGATCGATACAAAGCATACATTACCTTATTAACTTTTAAAAATAAGCTCTTGTCAATACTAAATTCGTTAAAAGATATGGGTTTTTTTCTCCAACAGGGAAAGATGAATTAATATTTTTTAGGAGTAAACCTGATTGCCACTCCTACTTATTATTCTAAACAAGATTTATACTGTTGTCAAAACAGGCTCAAATACAGATCTACTTACATTCATGTTTAAAATGGGACAATCCTTTTTGGCAAGTTTAAAGGCAAAGTAAGATACTTGAAAGATATCAGGTCGTCGCTCTTGATCTGGTTCAAGCATGTATCCTGTTGATGACAGCAAATTAAATTATTAACCTAAAGGTAAGAAGTCATTAAGGCAACCGAGTTTATTAAGAGTGAATAAAGTGATTTTATAATTACCTCGGAGTTCTGATTACATTATTTTCTACATACAAGAGTCAGGTATGGCTGTTAGAGAATAGAGTGACTGGATTAATTCCTCTTAATTGTCGTTACATTATGTTATGGAATATTCTTACATTCATCCATAAATCACACTATGAACTTTGTACCTGTTTTATCTAGCAACAAAGCTACAGGGTTTTTTTCTTTTTAAATTAGATTTGGCTAATTTCATGCCTTCATAACATAACAGCTAAATTATTCTAAACTGCTTTAAAAAAATATCTTAATCATCATTTTGCACCACTGTAAATTATCTTTCAGGCCAATTTTAACTTCCCATACCCTTAAACTACCAGGTCTAGGTATTCTTGAATGCCATATTTCCTATTGTATCATTCTCAGGCAAATAAAACACCACATCAATTCTACCTGGAAAATTACCACAATGTACATTTGATGACTGCATGATAATAAAGCAATTTTCCCTGAGATTCTTTACTTCTTAACCCTATTATTTTTTAGATTCTGAAAAGAGTCTCATCTTTACTGGATTAAGGATTAAGCTACAGACAATCAAAAAATTTAGCATCATTTCCTGTATAAGCACTCTAGTAGGTGAATATTTTTTTAGTTTGAAAGCAAAGTGAGCCTATACAAAAATGAAGTATCACTTTTCATACATTTGTATTTTTTCAATTTATAAATTAATGCCATTTTTTAAAAAAAAGAAAAATGGCTTGATAAGGACCTGAGAACTTCCTAAACGTTATTTTATGGGTGGATATCAATGACACACAAAAGATTACACTAACTAAGCTGTTGTTCAGAATTAGCAATGCTGTCCGAAAAGGTCAAAATAAATTTAGAGAACCAAAAGAACGCTCCTATTCCAACATAGCTAAAATTACAAATCTGTAAAATAAAAAATTCTATTTATATTTGCAACAATAACTTTCCCTAGAAAAGGAGGGGGGAAAGAGAAAAGAAGGTATTAATAGGAATCAGAAGTCTGATTATACACAAATAGCTGCTGAAATCTAAGTATAACAACTTAGAATGCTCATGTAAAGATAAGAATGAAGGGGGTAGAGCAGGAAGTTGGGAAACAGACTGATATAATAAGACCTGCTAGCTTTGAATAAGTATCCTGAATATAAATAAAAGCACATCTTAAGTTTAGCACCCCCTCCACAGAAATGCTGAAGAAAGGAAACTGGATATTTTTCTCTTCCTATTCTATTTTTCAGAACCATCTGCTTCACTATTACAACTATATCTATATCTATATCTCTATATCTTTCTATCTCTATCTCTCTATCTCTATATCTATCCATCTATCCATCCATCCACCCATCCATCTCTCTATCAATACACACACACACACTCCATATATACAAACATATTCCAGTATATACCTGAACTGCATCCCAGAATATTGGAACATACGTACGTACATACATACATACATACATACATACATATAAAATAAGACAATATAAAGTAGTTAATAATAAAGACAGGAAAGAGCAAGTCTTGATTTTTTTTATAAAAATAACCCCCTATGTATCAATTGTAATCAAAAAAAGATAATGTATTTTTGGTGGGGGAAAAAACCCTCCTAAAATGTACATAAAACTCATTTTTCAAAATATTATTCCAATTCATAAATAATGGTATTTACTCCAATATTTTTATAATATTACAATATATATTATTTCTTTGGCTACATTGGAAATAAGTGTGTAATGAAAATATGCAATAACCAAGGGAATCAGTTTTGGTTATGCCTACATGTAGCAATTTTAGTTTCACATAAAACATTTTAGTTAGTAAAGCGTACCAGTTACTTACTTATCAAACAATGCACACTGTGAGAATAACGCGAATTGTCTGGGATGGTGAAGCTTCCATCACAAATAGCAACTTGACTCTCACCAAAGGGAAGTGTGAAAAAACAAAGTTTATACAGCAAGCAGCCAAGGGCCTGTTTAAAAAAAAGCACATTGTTATAGTAGTAACCGAACTATAAAAACAGCAGACCCTTATTTTAAAAGTTGCAATAAGTTTTGTTACCACAATTTCATATTGTTTGAACAACTGCTAGTTATAATAATAAAACCGTAATTTAGATCATTTAGTACTATTTAGCAGCAACATTCCTAAACTATAATTCTACCAAATTTGCACTGCTCATTTTAAAAATACTTTTTTTTATTTTTTTGCTGCTTGTGGCATTATGAAAATTTATTCTGATGATCATTTATTTCACCTCCACACCTTCACAATACAATTATCCTAGTAATAGTGCTTTTGTGGTAAATGGCTTCCAAATGTAATGGATGAAATCCAATCAATTGTATCTATAACTTTAGTCACTAGAACAGTGGTGGCGAACCTATGGCACGGGGTGCCAGAGGCGGCACTCAGAGCCCTGTCTGTGGGCACGCATGCCGTTGCCCCAGTCCTAGGCCTTCAGCTGGGTTTTATAAAACCTTTTCGCTTTAGGCCTCCACCGCCATGTGCAAAAAAAAAAAAAAAAGGTTCAATCAGTCAATTTCAACTTCTCGCGGGGAAAAAAAAGTTCTTGCAAAGTTGGAATTGATTGATTGAACTTTTTAGTCCCACCCAGTCTGCCGTTACTACTGCAGCCATGCCCACCCAATGGGCCACGCCCACCCAATGGGCCACGCCCACCCAATGCCACACACCCCCAGCACTCGACGATGCATAAGTGGGTTTTGGGTTGCAGTTTGGGCACTCAGTCTCTAAAAGGTTCACCATCACTGCACTAGAACAAAAAAAAAACCCAAAATAAATGTGATTCTTTTCGAATTAAGTTCTACATTGAATTTAGCAGATTAAAAACATCACCCATTTCATTTTTTTATAAATTGTATAGATATGAGTTGAATTCAGACACTTATATGCAGTAGACTCAGTGAAATTAAGAAAGATTACAATAAACCTGGCTACTTTTGGATTCCTTGGAAATACTGATCTAGTCAGCACCTTTCTTATTAATTCTTACAAAACAGTTTATCTTACCCAGATATCTGCCTTGGTTGTAATTGTTTTCCCTCCATAAAGATTGATCATTTCAGGAGCTCTATATGACAATGTGGTATACCTTAAGGCAAATAATTTAGAATAAAAGTTAATCAAACACAAATATGACTATGGTGACCTGTTTTACAAACCCAAACTATACAGCTATTGCACTAATAAATGTACTTTGAGGTGGGGTATTAATTTTATATTTAAAAAAATTATGGCACTCTTGAGATACCACATTTTTCTCAGGATATTTTATGACAATAATATTGCCAGGCATATTATTTTTTTAAATACTTACTAGGAAAAAAGGAATCCTCAGAATGCAAGAAAACAACTACATTAGAATAACAAATGGGAAAACCCCTAACTTTCTATCTGTTAAAATAAGAATGTTTTTTTTTATCAGAGCAATGCTGGAATGGTAGAATAACTTTGCATAATTCTAATTTCAGATATCCACAGTTGATAACAAAAAATCAGATCTGGATATGCACATAAAAGCTCTTGATTACTGATGGTCTGGGCTTAGTTTTTTGCTTTTTAGGGATGTGCACAATAGCAAAGAGTAAACGCACTCCGCATGGACAGCAGAAAGAAAAAGATGGCAAAGGTCAGCTGGGGGGAGCAGGAATGGCGGGGGCGGGGGTCACAGAAAGCAGGGTGGCCAAAGGGGATGGGGGAGAGAGGTAGGTTGAGGGGGGTGTTGAAATGCATGCTGGAATTGCAAATGCAGACAGGCAGCCAAGCATCTGAATTTTGATCGCGGAGTGCTAAAGTGGCTGTAACTTTGAAAAATAAGTAGTTGTTTAGCACCACTGTAACTTCAAATGGTGATTGAATGAAGGGTCATTAAATGACCCTAGAACACATTTCTAAATGTAGACAATGATCCAATTAAAGAACTGAGCCTTTGGACACATTATTTCTTGTTAAAATGTTTTGTGATAATAAAGCAGGCACTGAGATTTCCAAACATTTTGCCACTGTTAGGATGCCGAGAGCTATCGATGGGCGACTTACTTTTTAATTTCTTCTTCAACTCCACTGACTCCATCTTTCTGAGGATTAAGGAATTTATTAGTGGCACTGCCGAAGTCACAGAGGACGTAGTTCCCACTGTCGTTCAATAAAAGGTTTTCAACCTAAAAGAAAACAAGCATCGATTTACAAACATCGATAAACACAGACACTGAATGTAGTTCTAATCATTTTCAAGCACTTTCACTTACCCGTTTTGAGTTATGATAATAATAATAATAATAATAATAATAATAATAATAATAATAATAATAATAATAATAATAATAATAGTAGTAGTAAAGTTGGAAGGGACCTTGAAGGTCATCTAGTCCAACCCCCTGCTCAGGCAGGAAACCCTATACCATTTCGGACAAATGGCTGTCCAGTTTCTTCTTAAAAACTTCCAGTGTTGGAGCATTCACCGCTTCTGGAGGCAGGTTGTTCCACTGGTTAATTGTTCTAACTGTCAGGAAGTTTCTCCTTAGTTCTAGATTGTTCTCTCCTTGATTAGTTTCCACCCGTTGCTTCTTGTCCTGCCTTCAGGCACTTTGGAAAATAGCTTGACTCCCTCTTCTGATGTACAACTAAAATGTTATTATAACTTTTAATTCCCCCAAGTAAAGATTTATATATTGTCACTGTATTGTGACGTGCACTGCGCTTCACACCTCGGGAGTAAAAGCTTCATGTAACAAAGTCAACAAGCTGCTTGCAATCAACTTGCTAAAGATTCTGCCCCCAAAAGAAATGAAGAGGGTGGATCAGGAGGCAAATATTTTCAGCAGAAGCCCCTACGTTGTAGAATAGTCCATTTCTGGAAGCATGATTGCCCTCTACTCAGTTGGAATGCTATCCTTTCTCAGCACTTCTTCAGAGCCTTCAGTGATTCAGCTGTTCACCTGGTATCATTATTATTCTGATTTCTTTACATTATTGTACTCTTGAACATTTGTTGTTGTTGTTGTTAGTTGCGAAGTCGTGTCCGACTCATCGCGACCCCATGGACAACATTCCTCCAGGCCTTCCTGTCCTCTACCATCTTCTGAAGTCCCTTTAAGCTCACGCCTACTGTTTCCGTGACTCCATCCAGCCACCTCATTCTCTGTCGTCCCCTTCTTCTATTGCCCACAAATCTTTCCCAGCATCAGGCTCTTCTCCAGTGAGTCCTTCCTTCTCATTAGGTGGCCAAAGTACTTGAGTTTCAACTTCAGGATCTGGCCTTCTAAAGAGCAGTCGGGGTTGATCTCCTCTAGGACTGACCGGATCTCGCCTTGCAGTCCCAAGGGACTCGCAGGAGTCTTCTCCAGCACCATAGTTCAAAGGCCTCAACTCTTTGGCGCTCAGCCTTTCTTATGGTCCAACTTTCACAGCCATACATTGCAATTGGGAAAACCATGGCCTTGACTATACGCACTTTTGTTGGCAGGGTGATGTCTCTGCTTTTTAGTATGCTGTCTAGATTTGCCATAGCTTTCCTCACCAGGAGCAAGCATCTTTTAATTTCTTGGCTGTTGAACTACTGAGATGCATATTATCCACAGTCAATCTGATTTGGGCAGTTTATAAATTTTGTAAATAAATGGAAGGAGAACTAAAGTTAAAATAACTAGGAATTTCCTGATTGTAAGAACTATTAATAACCACGGAACAGCCTGTCTTCTGAAGTCATGGATGTTCCATTATTGAAGATTTCCAAACAATGTTGGACAATATGGGATGAAGGATTCCGGCCGTGGGCAGAGAGGACTGGATTAGAGGACCTCCAAGGTCCATTCCAAACTGTATTATTCTATGAAATAAAATAAATATTGAGTAACAATTTCCACAAACCACAGGCAGCCTATGGCTGCACTTTAGAAAGTACGAGTTGGTTTACTTCTGTTATTCATTAATCAGTTTGAACACAGATTAATATCTCTGTCCCTATAAATAAGATCTTAACTAGCCACCTCCTTACTAAAAATAGTACTGTACTAAAGATAGTACTTTCATACTTCTTATCAAAGACAGTATTATTTACGTTTAGCTGCCCAAACAGTATGTCCTATATTTGCATGTTTTAAATGCACTGAGATCTACTCAAGAACAGACAAGAGAATTAAGACTGGAGTGTAACACCCAAAAAAAATAAAATTTACAGCAAGTCAAAATAACGTAGGCTTTTGTTTTCAAATGATTTCAAACTCAAAAACGGCAGAAGAGTTAGCCAAATCAAAGCAAATCAGCAGAGATTTTGAGATTAAAGGCGACGTTATGGATTATTTGCAGAGATTAAAAGTACATGTGTATGTTCTTTATTCCTTGTTGACTGTGGGACTTTCCAAGTAACTCTGAAACTGTTTACGAGATTGTTATATAGAATTTGGGTAGATTCCACAGTGTTGTTCCTGCTTACAGAACAATAAATTGTGAGTTTAAGTTACAAGGAAGCATTTTCACACATAGGGCTCGCCATCTGATAGGGCTGGTGTTGAATGCGGCTCATATGTGTGCGGAGCAAATACTTGATACCACCACAGTACATAAAGAAGAATTTATCAACAATAAGAG